TTATGTAATGGTTTTCAAAAGAAAATGAAATTAATTTATCTTGCCAGGGAAGAAATACACACAACTGATCATTTTGCTTTTTGTTAGGTCCTATTGTCCCCCATTGCACCCATTTTAAGGCAGTGTATCGTAATGTTTGTCACTGATGTTGTCTGTCTGGGGTTGACAGTGCTGCCTTTTGTTGTCGAAAGCGCTAAGGGTGGGTTTTCATGTCCTCGAAGATGAAGAGAGCAGTACACAAGATGACTGCTGCCTCCAGAATACACAGATTAGACTCTCTGTTGCTCGTCTCTGGCTTGTTTACTCTTCACACCTGAACAGGCATACAAATAAACCTGCGGTGCAGCCACCGAATGTTCAACACTCATGATGAATATTTTATTTTTCCTGCAGCTGGATGAGAAGCTTTCGCAAAAAGTAGAATCAGCAGGTCTCCAGAGATAATTTGGCTCTGTATGTGTGCACGCACACCAAGCTTGTACACAACCAGCCGGTGGCTAAAGTGAGCTCGGCAATAATTCAGGTTCAGAGGAAAAAAAAAACGTTCAAAGCTTGGGATATTTCTCCATCCATCTGTCTACTAGCTTCAGTTGATTGGTAAAATATTAGTTACAATGCCAGCAGTGCATTAATGGAAGGAGTCCAGCTTCTTCCTTTGGCTCAGTGTCACCTGGTTATCACGATCCATCACACAGGCACGAATTCGCTTATCAGCTTACAAATGGTGTCCACCATTTACACTATGTGCTTTATTTTATAGTACAACTGGCATTGTCTTTTTTTATATACATATATAAAAACGGGGAGGGTACATGTGATTTTATTTAGCCTATAGCTGGAAAACTTATGAAGTATGTGAAAACAAAACTTTCTGCTCCTGATAAATAAAATAAAAACGATGAAATGAAAAACAAAACAAACTGTGGGCTGCTGTTTCCATGTTGGCCCTCATGTGGGCAGACTCTCGCTCGGCATGTTCTTCCCACACTTGTTCTGAGCTATCTCACTAACCTTCTGATATATAATAGCTGGATGGTGCTGAACACCATGCTAGTGGCTAGTGGTGCAGCTGCTAGTCTCTGTCGATTCCTGTGCTTACCATTTACTCACCTGCCTGCCCACTCGTCACTGTTTCTCATCTAGCTGCTTTGGAATTCTGCCTGCCCGTCGGTTACTCCTCCAGGGCTCAAGTAAGGTCACTGAAACAGTTCACAAAAATTACAAGATCTCACTAAACTCACCTTCACCACATCTCTCCACTCTGACAGTGTTCCTGGTTGCGTTCAAGCTATAAGACTGTAAATCACTGTAAAACTGCTGCCGGTGTGCTGTGTCTGAATTTTCAGTCCAAATATGACAACCACCTCAGTTAGCTTGTTCATGACAATACAATTGGAAGAAGACTGAAAAAGTATGACTTGGTCAGAAGGGTTGCCAGGAGAAAACATCTGCTCTCTTCAAAGAACAGCACAGCCTGGGTTTGCAAAACTACCTTTGACCAAAATAAACAGGAAGATTGATTTGGAGATATCCATCCAGACCCATAATTCTGCACAGACCACAACCTGACTGAAACGCTGTAGTGCTGTGCATAAACGAATGCCTCCAAACCTCAATGAACTGAAATGCTGGTGCAACGTGGCCCTGATTGATTCAAGCTATTATTGCTAGATGTGGTTCTACAAGCTATTTAATGGTATACTTAGTTTTTCAAAGCTCTGCACAGATCACTTCTCAACAAAAGTTCCTCAGTGTCTGAAATGTATGAGACAGCAGATAAATGTTCGCTGCTGGTGTCACCATTATAACACAGAAAATGAAAGGGAATTTTGCCTTCTAATATGTAAAAAGGAACAGGAATGCAAACTTAAAAGTCCTGCTAAAACTTCTGAAATGCTGTGACACCAGTAGAGAGGAGTCATAAAGACAGCTAAACTGATTCCATCGTGCAAGTCTTGTTTGATGGCAATACCTAACATTACCAAGTAAAAGATACTGTTCTTACCTGCTGAGACTCCGACAATACAGCATTTAAATACGTTGTAATGGCCAAAAAATGTAGTTCTTTGTAAAGTTTCTTTTGCCTTTAAAGTGCTAAGAAAAAAGTAACAAAATAAAAGAAGGCTTAATAACAGGATAAGTGGGAACATTTCTAACTCACGTGTGGTGAGGTTAACTTTGAACCTGAAAACTACTTCCTGTGTATCTCTGTGCCTAATTGACATAATGGGACTAGGGTAACTTCAATTCAGTTAATTTGTTATATTTTCTTCAGTTTAATTTGATTTATATAGTGCCAGATTACAACAGTCATCCCAAAGCCCTTTACTCTGTGAAGTAAAAATCCTACAATGTCAGAGAGAAAAAACCCAAAGAATCCAATGTGACACTTTGGGACTATGGGGAGAAAAACTTTTTTTTTATAGGAATAAACCTAATTTCCCCCATTAAATCTGATCCTAAACATTACAATCCCCATTTCCCACAGAAAGAGTATGATCTGAAATCAATTCTGACAGTTTTAAGAAAAGACATGCAACATGCACTGGTTAACTGGCACGTGCTGATGGTGCTTGATTTGAAGGCCTAATTAAATATGTTCACATGATGTAAAGTGATTCAGCTGTAATGCCCTTAAAGAGTGGATTTAATCACTGAATCAAACCAGTGAATAAACCACACGAGTCATCGCAGCAGTAACGGAGTTGGAAGCCTAAATGAGCAACGCTGAGTCAGACTGCAATTGTTGTGCAACACTGTAAACACACTTGACATCAAGTCATTAGTGATCTGCAGAGCAAGGACATGACACACGCCTGGCATTAATATCAAAGCCAATTTTTCACTATCTCTCCGTGGCTAAAACCACAGTTCACACACGTTATTATCTCTGCTGCAGATCAGGGGGCAATCGCTGGGTCCTGTAGAAGGCAAAGGAAGCCATATGTATGTTTCACCGAGGCAGGGAGTGTACAGCAGTGGCTAAATCTCTGTAAGCAGGCCCTGGCGCTGCTCCCCGATTGCCTGCCTGCTGTGCGGGCAGGGGCCTGAAGGGGACTAATCCCTTGGCATGGGCATGAGTCGCACATGTTGATGTGTACGGGTGCATGCAGAAGACCCAAGCTGCAGGATAAAGACAAGACCTGGCAACAGATTCAGAAAGCCCCAACTAATAACCTTCGATCGCCTTCCATGCTTAACTAGCACCCTTCACGCATCTTGGATGCTTCTTGGAGATGACGTGAATTGTTTTTGGAATATGGCCTCGTACTGTATGGACAGGACAGTCCTGGTCTTACATAACTCTTGTCTGCTGGAGACTGTGCCTGACTGCGAGGTCTTTGACTATTACATGTGGCTCAGTTTTTGCTTAAGTGGGCAGCCGTGGTGATGGTAAAAAGTTGACATGCTGTTTCAGCCCTGTCAACCTGTGCATTTTGATGGCTTTGAGAGTGCAGCAGCTTTCCTGTCTGTTATCTTGGCAGCTAAGGTGACCTGCAGCAGGCCTGGAGGCAGCAGCTGGAGCAGACTCTGCTCTGTAGTCTCACAAGTCCTCCAACAAGAGTGTGCTGTTTATAATTGGAGGGCAAGGTTGCACTTGAGTGTTAATGAAACAGTGGTTATTATCTTTCTAGCAATAAACACCATTGCCCTGCTTATGCTTGTATGGCAAAAAGAAAGCTTGTGCCACCAGGGTTAGCCAAGCTTATAGTGTACATAACCTTTTACAGTGACAACATTTAATTAAAGATACAGATTAAGCTTTTATTCACTGTGTACTAGACCTAGGTTGCTGTGTCTCACTGCTTTCAGGCTTTATGTTAAGCTAAGCTCGTCATCTCAACTGACTTTATTATTTCACTATTTCTCAAAGTGTGGGGCTGTCTATTTCAGTTTTTTCTACATGTTCATGGAATCATCATCAGCTTCAAATTCAAAGTAAATTAAACATTTAGCTGTGGGAAGCGACTCAATTATTCTAGGAGCAGCCTATAAATACAACTGGAAGGCTCTTCATTAGTGCAAACAGCAGGGTGGCTCACCAACACAACCTCAAAGTTGAATATATTAATGAGAGTTTAAACTTTTGAGCCAATAACTTTGAATTTCGCTTTTCTTTGAGCTGCGCGTGACAACAGTAGATGAGCATAAGTTATAATATCTGGATAATCATTTGGTGCACTATCCTAACCACAGCATTAAATACCTTTAGATTTAAATCTTGAGTCAACACAGATGCCCTATATGCAAGACTGCTAACTATCAAAGAGCAATGATCTTCAGTGAGTGCTTTATGCCTTGCCTTCACTGTAAGCTGAATTCCAGTTCACTTCCAAATTTGTAATTTAGTTTCATTTTTGGTTTATTTTGTATTTTTTGTATGCTAGGGATAAAACCACAAACGTCACGGTTAGTAATTTTGCTGGTTTGCAGGTCAGACCTGCTATGCCTCCTGAGCTACTGGCTCTGTCTAGATGTAGCTACATCTAGACAGAACAAGAGGTAAAGAAGAGCTTTGAAATGTCCCTCAAGAAGCCTGGAGAACTATTCCCAAAGAATACCTAAAGAAAGCCTGCCTACAAGAGTTCAGGCTGTGTTTTCTTATATATACTGTATTTTCATTTATATTTACACATTTAGAGAAAATCCTTCACCTATTTCCCATTCTTTTAATAAAATATAAAGATATGAGGGGTAGCTCAATACTTATGCACAGTGCTGTACATGTGAATGCTCCCCATATTTATGAGAAGCAAAAACCGTTATGGGTGTTTTGGGCACAAAAGCAAGTTTAAAAAAATAAGAATTTATTCTGTATTTGTGGATGTTTGAGAGAAAGAAGCAGAAGATCCATCACCTCACTTATTCAGGGTGGTGTCAAAATGAGGACAGCAGGTGACTTGCAGGGCAGTTATTAAAGGGGCTGTGCCAGGGACCCAGAAGATATTAGATTTGGTTTCATAACACAGCAGTGTTGGGATAGGATAGGGGTTTTCTGTGTAGGCTTTCTTTTAAACAGTATGATTGGGCTTGCCTACTCGACGGTCAAATAATGTAAGAGATCGCGTGAGTTTGGAGTTCCGCGTGATCAATCAGCAGCTTCCCGTTGTTTCTAGAGTGGACAGTGAAGGAGGAAGATTTTTTTCCCCCACTGGCTGTTTGCACATGCAGTACTCAGGAAAGTTAAAGGAGCACGGTCTCGATGGAGGGGATGAAGGGCACAGAGTAGGAGGGAAGCTGATGGTCCTCTCTCATTATCAGCACGGTTTTCCTGCACTGAGGAGGACTTCATGCGGAGGGGGAGGCGCCCAAGCGAGGCGAGCGGCACGACTGCTGCCTGAATTTAACAATTAACCTTGATGAACACTGATTGCTTTCACTTAACAGGCGCAGGTGCGTGTGGTTTGCAAAACGGCGCAGCTGAGCGATTCCACATTTGTGACTGAACACTGACGCATTTTATGCTAAACACAGAAACTACAGGCTGCCACGGATAGATAATAGCAATTGCAGCTGATTTTTTCCCCCTCTTTCCACGGGACAGGATGCAGGTTGCAATAGGAACCCATCCGACACACGTCCTTTTGCAGAATCCGAATTCAGGGGCGCCACTGAACTGATTTGGAGACGTATATCGGAATTTGACCGCCTTGTCATTGTCCATTCACCAGTCCCGGGCAGCTGAACGGCATCATCTCAGCATCCGAGACAAGAAGGGGGGAAAACCTTCCGCTTTACTACTCTCCATTTGCGCACTGGACGGCTTGAAATGAGGGTCGCATCCCGGTTGTGTTCCGTGTGAAGAGGCAAGCGAGGTGGCAGTTTCTTCGGCTCAAGGACGCAAAAAGTGGCCGCCGGCCGAGGTGCGAAGCATGGAGCAGCACGACACTGACACCGCGACCCCCTCCAAAAAGACAATAATTGCGAAGATATTTAAAGTTCGCAAGAGGAGAGAGATGTTATTCGTGCAGGTCTGCTTTATCTGCAGTGTCCTGTTCGTAGCGTGGAGCATGTCGGCACTACTGACCAAGACAGGTGAGTGTGAAGGGATCCACCGGGGTGTAGAGAACAGAGGACGGAGCAGAGCTGCTCACAGATCTGCAGTGTAATCATGCACCCCGAAGATCTGTCACATGAGCACCATCAGGCTTCAGTAGCAAGGGCATGAGATCAAAATATGTATTTTTTTTTTCAGACCCTAAATGCGTATTTGTTGCCTTTTGTTATTTATTTATTCATTCATACCCGTGTCGTTTCCATGGAAAAAGAATTTGGCATCCGCTGTTACCGACCCATCACACTCCCTAGAAAGTCGGCTTTAAATATAATTGCGGGACATTTGAGGGGGGGGAAAAAGAGAATCTGTTCAGGCGTATACACGCGTCTGTTTGACAGTATATGCCGCAGTGTGCGCGCCGTGGCATCGGCACGTTTTTGAAATTGAAAGCCAGGCTCATAATTACGGCACACGCGCACTCCATGCATAACGGTGCACACTTCAGAAAACATTCCGACCCCAGTATGATCGCTTTTTGCATTTATGCCCTTTGTTCTCACAAAATCCTCCCACCCTCCTTTTTTTCCCTTCTTCTTCTTCTGGTGCCAGATGTATTGTCGATCACACTACATTAGCGCTCAGGATCGCCGTTAACGCTGGCATTATCACGTCTGCCCCTGGGCTTCACACACCATTGCTCACACCGGATCACGAGCATCATTACGCTCCCAGGTTCCACATGGCGATCGAGGGATGCCGATTTTTACGCAGAGGCCACTGATTATGACTTAGAGGGGAGGGGTGGAGGGTAAGCAGCGGGGATGCGTTATCTTGCCGGATGTTACAATATTCATAGTTAAAGTCTGAAGTGTGGGCTGAAACAAACCATTTAGATGGCTGATTTTTGTGCTACGCAAACACACAGACTCCAAGCTACATGCCCTCCCATTCACACATGTCAAAACTCCGCGCAAACACTGACACGCACAGCATCCCACACAGCCACACACGGTTATATAATCTAACCGCCAACCTTGACATTTTACTGGTGAAGAATATCCGACACACCACTGGGATCATGGGTTAACTAGATGGGAACACACCTTCAGGCCAGTACTGTTCACAAGGAGGGAACATCGAGACTGCATTCAGTGCCAAAGGGGATTTTGTTAGCTTTTTTTTTTTTTTTTTAATCGCAAAGGAGACTTGGTGCTCCATTCAGGACTTTTCACATGAAAGAAGCGGGATTGCTGTGCTTCTAACGCTGTAAGCCTCAGCGCCAGATCCTGTCGTGAGATCTGTCCATCTGAAACCACTTAGTAATTCCCAGTGCTGAAAGCAGCTGTAAAGTCACCACAGCTCCTGCCTGACTGTGGATCCCTAAAGACATATCAGGGAGTTTTATTAATTACGTTAAAAACAACAAGAGGCTTAAAAGATTATTCTGGAGCGATATCATACAGGCTGGTGCAAATCTCTTATCTCGAAAGACAGGCTCTGGGAGACAAAGTAAGCTCCCTTTGGTCACCAGTGGCTTCCCCTCTTTTCATTTAATCAAGTTTGCCTGACCTACACATTAACTGTCCACATGAAGGCATTTGACAGCAGGCTTCCTCTTGGGTTTCAGCCGTTTTGACAAGCAGCTGCATCCTTGGTGGTGGATAGTGGAATTTCAAGGTGACATGCTTGATGAAAGGGGGGTATGAAAAAGAAATTTCCTTTTAGAACGAGGAGACCCAAAGCTCAGCATAACTAAATCTGTCTAATTCAATAGCTGTGCCCTTTCTCATATTTCAACAATCACAACAGGGACCAGCATGCCTCATGTCACAGGAAAGTCTCTGTGCTTGCCATCCATTTGATTGATGGCAGTATAGGAGAGTGATGAAATGCTGAATGCTCCAGATGGATGGGATTTGATGTACTACTCCTGAGTTACATCTTCATGAAGAGGGGTGGGGCGCAACATGTTGGTGTGTGTGTGTGTGTGTGTGTGTGTGTGTGTAAACCTCACATGGGCGAGTAGAGCAGGTGTTTTGAGAAGCAGGGCTGAGCTCTGATAGGTAGCTGCAGAGGGGCTGATTGTGCTGGGTGCGTATGTCTGTGTGTGGGTGTAAATGACCCGGAGACATTTTTGACTAAAGGAATGTGAATAACCATAAGCATTGTGAGCTTGATGGATGGCTGTCCTTGGTCGATCTGCCTGGATAGAGGACATTACCACAGTGCTATTATTGTCTGCGTGCTCAGCTAGAAGTGAAGTTATGATCTTTTTTAATTCAATTGTATCCATTTTGGTTTTGCCTAAAGTAGCTGGATGTCCCTAATTTTAGAGAATAATTTTATAAATCTGAGTTCACTTTACAGTACCGATCACAATGAATCTGTATTGACAATACACATGGTTTTCAAAAACCATGAATATCAACGCAGTGATGCACTAATGGCAGTTGTACTGTTTGTATGCTCCACTACATTTTAAATTCAATTACAATAAGAAACAAGTTTATAGAAACATTTTTGGCTGATAACCTTATTGCTACTATTTTCTTGAATTTTCTGAACCTATTATAATTGTGACATCCTTAATTTACACGTTATGTACGTGCATAGAATGACAGATGTGCTTTTTCATATGTTATCCAACATAGTGTGTTTGTGTGGGTTCTGCTACCTCTGTCAATCTGATAAATTGATTTTAAAGAAAATAAATCAACAGTTTCATGTTGTGCAACTGATTTGGTGGGGGTAATGTTTGGAGACAAAAGAAAGTGGTAGGAAAAGATCATAGTAGGAGTTAAAATGAGTTATTTTTAAGGTTATTGATTTTCCTGGTAGCCATGATAAATGTGGGTAGGGGACTATCATTAAGACACTCATTGTGGACCATTTGTTTAAAAAACCAAACCAAAAACAAAAGA